CTAGTATTTTCATTTATGTTCTTCTGGGCATTTCGGCAAAGCTGCTTTAAAACATGATAGCAAAATTGACAAGTGATAGCAACCCTCTTCTTTTTCTTATTTCTTATTAACATAAGGGACTTACTGAAGGACAAAATAATAATAATAGTAGTAGTAGTAGTAATAATAATAAGCTAAGAACTTAAGACCACTGACAAAGGGAGTTTAATTGTAAAATATAAAGACTGAGAATTAATTGCAGTTAACTTTTAGCTATACGAGTGCAATTCTTTATCTGTGTATATTGAACATGAATAGTAGCCTTTGAGATAACAATTCCCTAGATTTGGTTAAAAAGCAACAACAGTTGAGCAACATTTAACAAAGAATAAAACTGTTATTTCCATTTATATTGTTTGCACAGTACAGGCTAGCTTTTTATATGACTCTTTCTTATTGACATTTTTAAGAAATTAATAAATATGGCTACACTACATATGCAAAGACATAGCACCTTGAGATATTTTGAATCACATTTTGGATAATTCTCAGAAGAATAACTTACTTTGGAAGTAAGAAGGACAAGTATTGCAAAATTCTCTGAGTTTCCTGTGGGAGCAAGCCCCACAAAATTTGTATTTTGATTTAGAAAACAGGTCCTTTGTAAGGAAACTTCTATAATTCTTAATAGAGGTAAGATGACAGGATTGCTGGAGTTTTTCTGTCATAAAAATCACCCAATCTGTCTTTAATTAAATGTTCTCCACCTTAATTGTATAACATTTTCAATAAAAATTTCTCATTAAAAGTAATATAGTAAGACATAATAAAAAAGGTTTCTACTATTAAAGTAGAAAACATCACCATGGATTAAAATTTTGTTGTTGTTTAGTAATAGAAGTCTATATTTATACCTATTTCCTGCCAAAATAGTTCAATAGAACTTTTGTGCATTGTTGGAAAATAGGGTAACATTACAGAATTTGAACTCTGGAGCAAACAAGAAACTACTTTTTAACCCGATTCCTTGAAGTAAACAATAACTATGTGAAACTCTTGTGCAAGTCTTGTTTAGTAATAGAAGTCTATATTTATACCTAAGTATTTCCTGCCAAAATAGTTCAATATAACTTTTATGCATTGTTGGAAAATAGGGTAACATTACAGAATGTGAACTCTGGAGCAAACAAGAAACTAACTACTTTTCAACCCGATTCCTTGAAGTAAACAATAACTATGTGAAACTCTTGTGCAAGTCTGTACATTATAAGCACACAGGTAGCAGTCATCATTCAGTTACAGACTGTAGAGGGAGATTAGGACTGTTAGAGGGACTAGTGCCATTCTTAGTAAAGCTGACTTTCATGAATTTTCTATTTTGTTTTTATGGAATTTGATTTTCTCTGTGAAATCTTCAGGGATTATTTAACGAATGAAAGGTACCATATGCTAATATTCACCAATGCCTTTAGAAAAACCCTATCACTTCTGAAATGTTTTCCAGAGAAACATAAGCACTATTTTTATAAAGGAAGTTGTTGGAGGGGGGAGGGGGATGAGGCCTTTCAAAACATATTAGAAACACGTTGTTTCCATTTACTTATTATTTATTTATTTACTTACTTACTTATTTTTTGATGCTACCATGTGATTAAGGAACTCCTACTATAACAGGAAAATTCCTAGAATCAAGCCTGTCCTCTACCCCATCCATCCCCAACCTCACAACGCTAGCATACAGTATTAGTCCAAGATTTATATACTAAGTCTAGTACTATAAAGAGTGCTCAGCAATAATTCACATAATTAATAAACTGTAAACTGTCTCCTCTTTTGGCCTTTAACAATATATGTTCAAATGTGATACCACTTTTTGGAACTACCTAAGTTTAGAAGGGACAGAAGCAAGTTGGCTATTTTGACACTGGTTAGTATTGGAGGCCAATTTCAAATAATCAAATCCAAGTATCTCAACCTGATTTATCTACCTGACAGAAGACTGTCATGATGTACATAGCGCTCATTTTGATGTACACACACATGAGTGTGTGTAGCCTACCAGGGCCCCACCTGGTTGTCTCTCGAGCTCCTATAATTCATCCACTCTGACAGGTACAGTCATCAATCACTGGGGGCCAGTTGCTGAGATTATTAATGGCCCTGTTAAAACCTTGCTCATGGAATATTTGGATTGATAAGACCATTTTCTTATGGAGCTCAGACACCTGTAGACAGTCAAGCTAACCCAAGAAGTAAACATCTGACCTAATTCATGCATTGCCACAACTTCTCAGTGTCTAAGTGCAACATTACTGGACAATATGGTCAAGCAGACCATACCATTGATGACAATAGCTTCTGGATGTTGTTGTTTTCCCATCTAAGAGGTGAATATATATTGTTGAGTGCTGAATTCCTGTCTAAATCAATTATATTACTACTACTTCCTGCAAACTTAAAAGCATAAGTAACCGCTTCTGTGTTTTAAATCAGGGAATTAAAAAGCTAATTAGTCTCTATCTTCCTAGTGAATTGACTTAAAACCTGATTTGCGTGCTCAGGGTGTTGGTGGCAGAAAGACAGGGCATTCTGGCCACTAGCAATATGCTTTTAAGTGGTATTTGTAAGAGTCAACTGGAAAAAAAAAGAATTAAAATAAGTTTTAAAAGCAGTTCTTTCATTTCCTTTTCATGAAAAATTAGACTACAAAACATACCAGTGGAAGGCACTTGCTTTACATTTGTCCAGCTCAGAACACTGTGCTGTTCGTATGACTCAGTGAGAGAATAGATCTGTTCTCAAATTCCCGCTCAATTCTTTTTTTAAAATATATTTTTATTGATTTCAGAGAGGAAGGGAGCGGGAGAGAGAGAGAGATAGAAACATCAGTGATGAAAGAGAATCACCGATCGGCTGCCTCCTGCACGCCCCCACACTGGGGATTGAGCCCACAACCTGGGCATGTACCCTGACTGGGAATCAAACCCATGTCCTCCTGGTTCACAGGTCAATGCTCAACCACTGAGCCATGCCAGCTGGGCCCCCCTCAGTTCTTTTTATAATATTATAGTTGTAGAGTTCTGCCCAGTTGGAGTCCAATGACTCCAGATAAGATAGCTAATCAACTTTCCAAAACTAAAAAAATGTTCTGATTAAGATAATTTAATTCAGAACCCCCAATCCTGACCTAATGTTTGCAGAATCGTTCACCATATGTAAAATTTTTCCCAGGAGCAATGTATATTCCATTCTGTTTCTAAAAGGCCAAATCCTAAAATGCTGTTTGGCAGATTTTCATAAATTAGCTGAGTTCTTTACAAATGCTTCCACATTCTTTCCTGATACACTGGCTTTAGGTGACTCTCACTCTAATAAACCACCTATGAAATCAGTGGGCCCTAAACAATCCTTAACTATTTGCTCTACTATGTTTTACCTAACCATAATAATTATGAAGAGCGATGTAACACTTTTCATAGCATTCAGTGATCTGCCCTTAGTCTTTGACTTCCCAGAAGGGGACCATTTATCGGCTAGATTGCGCCTATGATCTCAAAATTTATTCAAGGGTTAGAAGATACCATCAGAATTCTAATCAAAGCAATGTTAAGAAAATAAAATGGGCCAGGAATGGCTCTCTGGACAAAGAACTTTCTTACTGTTAAGGTATAAAACATGATTATGTTCTTTAGTTTCTCTTCATAAATTTATATTTGCATAACTTGACATATCTTTTTGACAGAGCATCTGTATGCCATGTTGACAATACAATGCGAGAAATAGAAACATTTAGCTACTCAGTCTGTTTCACAGCTAACATCTACCTAGGATTCAATATGGATTCATCCTAATCAATGATAAAATCAATATTGTAAAAGTCCTACAGCACCTTCTGCAATTCTAACCTTAAAAAT